GCCAGCCCAACCAGAGATTGCGCAGCCAGCCCAACCAGGGATTGCTCCGCTCCTTCCACCATCACCGCACCAATACAATTTGGCAATTTGGGATGCAGAATCATTGCAACATCATCCAGCACACCCACGCCAAGGGCAACAGCCAGCCCAACCAGTTGTCCAACCAGGGAGTGCTCAGCCAGCCCAAGCAATTAAGATGGAAGCAGGCATTACTCAGCCAGCCCATACTTTCCAGCGGCCTGATTTTCTCGCTGAACTGCAGGCTATGGGATGGCAAACTCCAAGCACATGCAGGCCATCGGAGCCAGTGCCAGCCCAGGGAGCACACCAAACCAGCCCGGCTTCAGCTGCAGCAACCCAGAATGGAGCAACTAAGCACCAACAGTTTGACCTTCCAAAGACCACTGGAGATCAGCCACGCCAGCCTGGCGGGCGTGAAGGAGCTGGTGGGTACAATCGGCGAGCCGCAGCAAACCTCATAAACAGGTTGCGGGCAAACCCGTCAAGGTTGCAGGGCCACCCAAACCTTGAGAAGATGGTCTTTGATGATGCCAAGAAGCCAGAGCTCATCACCTTGCTCACAGAGCAGAACGGTTCTTTGGGAGGCGTCAGTGCCGTTTTGGTCCTGCAGGAGGAGAAGGGCAGAGTCCAGATGTCTCGCAAGCAGGCTCTTCGCTACACCAAGAAACAAATGATGGACACCTATGGCGAGGAGGCGGACAAGGTCATGAAGCACAAAGAAGATGCAGGTCTGGTGGAGAAGGATGAGAACAATCCAGATGGCTTTGTTTACCTCATCGCCAACAAGGTGGACGAGAATGAAGACTATTTGAGATCAGGCCGCTTTGTTCTCTTTTCAAAAGGTGTGCTGCCAAAGGCACATGTCATTGTGGCATTAATCTGTTGTCCGTGTGTTTTCATTTATCGGGAGGCACTATGCTGGAGAGCGGGAAAATGCACGTGGACGCGGACAACATGAAAGATATCGTTGAGTGCATGACTTTCATCTGCGCAGCAGTCTTAAAGTCTTAAAACATTTTGGCCTAGCTTGCTCGGTGAGTGGTTTTATTCTGTCGGCTAAGGAAGATGGCTGCGCCCAAACCCAAGGCGCAAATCTTGAAGCGTGCTACACCATCTCCGAAATCATTGAGCCAGCCAGCAACCCCTGTTACACAGGGAGCGCCTGCGACACCTGCAGGTTCTGCGCAGGATGAAGATATTGCTGAGCGACCTCAGAAGCGCGGCAAGAAGATCCCAAAAGACCAGGCCACGCTGACTCCTCTGGACAAAGGTCGCGACCTTGCTGAGAAGCTACTCAAGAAGAAGAGTGACGCAAGCAAACTTGCACTGACGCTACAGCCTTTGGACTACGCGGACGCGTTGAGGAAAGAGATGGAGAAGCATGCCAGGCTCTTCGAGTACTTTAGCTGCACTAGGATCACACGGGTCATGCTGTGAGGATTGTTGCATTAATTGAACAATGGCCTGTTGCGATCGTCATGAGGCAGCTCTACCTCAAAGTCCAGGCCATGGTGACTGCGCAGAACAATGAGGATGGGGCATTTTCAGTTTACATGTTTCAGTGTCAGTTGAGTTTTTTCTACTTGTTCCAAACAATGTGAGCAAGTGTGTCTCGTTTTTGTGACGTCTTGCCATGGAGGAGGATCAATACATTCCTCTTGTGAAGGAATGGATTCATATGCAGAAACAGTACGATAAGCCCTCGGCAGCAGCGACGGCGATTGCCAAACAGGCGAACAAAAAGCCTGCAGCTAGCAAGCCCAGGGCCAAGGCAAAGTCCAAGGCAGACTAGCGTGCTTGGACCGGCTACGCGTTGTTTGTTGGTGGTTTTGTGAACTTCGCATGTCAAGCATGTGATCTTTTTGGTTTGGGCCGGTCAGCGCGTTGGCCATGAGACGCCATGAATTGCAGGGGAGGCTTTTTGAACCCAAGCTATGAAACGGCCTGGGATAGAGCCTATGGGAAGCAATTTGAGGCGAGCTTGGCTTAACCTCTCAAGACGGTTGCCTGAAAAAGAATTGACCTGCAGCGAATGAGTTTGCAACATGTGTGTTTGAGATTAATGTGCGCGAGTGGGGAAGTTCTTCAGTTGAGATTGATTGCACAAGTGGTAGAGTTCTTCTCAATTGGTCAGCTCTCAACCTTCGCAGGTTGGAGTTGGAGACGGCTCCAACTGGGCCTTCTAGCAAATACAGGAAAAAGATGTTCCTGGCCAGCACTTGGTCGGGTTGGATTAGAATAAAGATCAATGGATTGGTAGGTTGACTTCTATTCACTTTTTGTCGCTCGATGGAAGTCACGCAGGTCAATCGATGAGATTGACAGTGCCGGGGTCCGTGGAGTGGCAGAGCGGGTGGCAGCTGGAAAGCTTTCTGTGAAGCAAGCTGCGCGTTGTTCAGAAATGTTTGTGGGCGATGGCTGTGCAAAGGTCCGCTTCTGCCAAAATAGTTTTGCTGCACTCCTTTTTTGCTTGACCAATAGTTCATACATGTTCATACAGAACTTGCTTTTGCTCCCATCAGGTGAGCGCACGCCAAATGGCATTTGCCCGGGAGCGTGATTTCTTCCGGTGGCTGAAGCTCCCCATACGCATTTACAAGGCCAAGATTCCAATGCTGGATTCCATGGGCAACCTGATCAACAAAGAGATACATTTGGTCCTCCCAAGTGATTTGCTGCAGGCACTGCACTCACATGGTCCAGATGCTTCCTGCCTTGGCTTCCGCTCAGACTTTTTCAGTTTTGTTTTTCTATGTGTCCAAACTTGGGTTTAAAACTAGCGGTTCCTTTTCCATGATCGCTGCTTGAGGTCGTTGATGAGTGCTTGGGATCCCGCAAGGACATTTCTCAGCTGTGGCATGCGTCCGGCTGCCCGGATGTTGCTGATTCTCATGTGCCGATTATCATTCACGAAGATGCTGTCCCACACTTCTCTGGCTCGACTGCAACAATTTGGAGCTGGTCCACAGGTTGCAGAAGGGCAGATTCATGGACAACTCGGCAGTGTATTGCTTGCATCGGAACCCCGAGTGTGACACAGGCTACAACTGCAACAATTGCTGGAGGCATCACTATAGAGTTGTTTTGACTGAAAGTGCTCAGCACGACGTCAAGGGCCCAACAACATGTTGCTCTCACATTGGCCTGAATTTTCTTCTGTTGCGAACTTGCCCACGATTCCGAGGTTGAAGCCACCCTGCACATGACAAATGTACAGAACCCAAAAAGAGTTCTTGTCTTCGCCGCTTTGATGCGGCTATCCAAGCATGGGAATGGCCAATGCTGCTGGAGAGGTCTGCCCAAGCGCGCTCTCGTTAGCTTTCCTATGTAGAGTTGCATTCCATGGTCCCGGGACCACTTTTCAGCGTGGCGGCTGAACATATCCAATATCTCGGTGTGGCTTTCCAGCCCATAAAAATGAGCAAGTGATCCGTCTTCTAAGGAATCACAAATCACCGACGCAACGATATCGCGGAGCGTCCCCAAGTGCACTATATGGAGCAAATCGATGAGCCTCTTGGCTTTTTCAAATCTGGGAACTGCAGTCCACGGCGATGGGTCTGAAGGGTGGCGCATAGTCATCGTCTGCCGCCACAACGCACGCAAACTCAAATCACCCCAGGTCAGCTCTGGCGCCCGTTTGTCGGTGGTGGCAAGGCAAAAGTCGCAGCATTGAAGGCATTTGTAA